TAAGAAATAGATTCCCAGGTCTTTCCTCTGTGGTGCTAATAGGTGAATTTGAACTGCCAAACTGTTAGACCTGTCAGAGCACTTCACCATTTGCCCCACCCAGGGCTTCCTTCATATGAGAATATGGAACAAGCTCTGGATTCTAAATTAGAATACCAACATTTTTCACAAAGCTCAACTCGCTGATCTTTTAAGAAGTCATAGAACCACTGGGGCTAGTGTCATCAATCACTAAGTGACAAGGAAGAGAATCCATGTGGCCCGAGGGCCCTTCAACCTATAGCACATTTATAGTTTCAGTAAGTATGCCGCCTCTCCCTGCCTTGATCACATTTCTAGATCTTGAGTCAAATAATCATCCCTCTCTCTGTCACCCTTACAGTACCAGCCAAAGCCATTATTTTCCTTAAAGGAAGAGAGTTAACAAGATGCTTTCATGCTCTAAGATCTATGATCCTGAAAACGCCAGTGTACTCAGATCCTTACAATTTTAAAAAAGGACCAATATTACGCCAAATCTGATGAGTTTTCCTCTTAGGTGATTCGACCACATTTCAGAGTCGATCAAGTCCCACCTAAGACGCAAGATGACATCTCAGCTAACATTTGCGAAGCATTCCACCGGATCACATATCTCAGCGAACAGAGGATATTAGAGACAGAATCCATTCAATGATCAGAGATGGGACTGCAAAAAGAGACAAGCAGTTTCTGACTTTTCTTTCTTAAGTCTATAAAAGAGCCTATGATTCACTTGACTGAGATGAGAAAAAACATGGAAGCGCCAGCTATTCTCCTTTCAGTTTTAGGACTCCATGCCACTTACTATACATTAGAGTCATAAACGAATGCTAACATTCTGACTGGGCCTTCAAATGGACAACTTCCTACAAGAAAACAATTGAGATTTTATTGCCTTAGCATACAGGTCCTTAGAATTAACTAGATAAAGTATTTCCCAGGTTTCCTTCCTAAACATAAATGTGGTGGCCTGGTGGCGCCCGGGTGGCATAGTGGTTAAGTGCTCAGCTGTTCAAGAGGCCGGTGATTCTAACCTGCCAATCTCTCTCCTCAGGAGAAAGATATTATCAGGTGCCCATACATACAAAAGAACGAAACACTGTCCAAGCCCACAGGCCTGGAAACCCTGAGGGGCAGTTCTCTTCTGTCCTTTAGCATTGCTAGAGGTGGAACCAACTCGATGGCAATGGATGTGATTTAGGTTAGAACACACACGCAAAAAGGCTACATTGTGAGGAGAGGGGGCAAGAGCCTTATTCTTTGAGAAATGAATATTGAAAGAATTTCCTAACAGCTATTTCAAGTAAATATACAATCTACCCCATTCTTTAAATCATGTGTGGACAAAATATACAGATTTGAAATATAGATAAAAGAAATTTAAATATGGAGTATAAGAAAAGGCTTGTATTCTGAACTAACAAGCTAAATATACTGTAGTTTTAGCCTTGGTTTTAAATTTCTTCTCTTAGGCATTCATTATAGAAATAGAAAACAAGCAGGAAAACCAGAATAAGAATGAGGAAATTCCTTGGATTTATTAATTTTATCTCTTCTAGAAATACAAATTAAATCAATCCCCGTGAAGCCCCACAAGGTGGATTATCATCAAGAGTAGCTGGTTTTATAAAGGGGAGTAGAAAATGTTTTGAAAATGATGATGGCAACATCAGTAAAAAATGTGCTGGTGAACCATTGAGGTATGGATTGTTATGAAAGCTGTAAGAGCCCCCAGTACAATGATTTATACTTTAAAAAAGGAAACACAAAGAAAAAAGAAAGTGATCTCCCATTTATATAGCCATGAATCAGGAGTTGTATCTTACCATTTAAATGATACAAATAAAACATTTAAAGACTCTTGTTGGGACTTTAAAACATCAAGTGAGAAAGGTTGAATTAAGTACCAACTTCTAATACGTCAGGAATTGAGGAGTGCTCTTTTGAGCAGCCCTTAGGATAAATCCGTGTCTGTTAGCCCTAGAACAAGGGCCTACTGATCCCTGGAGCTGTCCAAATCTGGGCATAAAATGACTATGGAGACTACAGCCTTCTTTGAGACCTGAAGCCACCCATTGGGCATTAGGCAGAACAGAAGCACGGGTCTCAGTCATGGCAGAGCTCAGATTCCTGATTGCCAGATTGGAATTATTCCACAATATCATGTTAGCTCTGTTGCCAAATACATTACACTGGGTGACCTCTTCCCCTCTCTGTGACTCCTTTCCCTCATCTTTGAAATGGCGAATTTAACTCAATAGGGCTCACAGTTCATAAATCTCAATCCTCCTTCCATTCTTCCCAGATGGGATCTGCTTCTATCAGTAGAGGCACTGAGAATTGAGGAGTGACAACCTTTCTGAGCGCTTCTCAAGGGTATAAACTCCACAGATGAAAGTCACCCATTTCATTATCTCTGTGAAGTCTTCCAGACTGACCATATATTCTAATTCACAAATCTCAAAACCTAGCCCCCAAGTGCTCATTGAATTCAACCTGACTCAGCATTTTCCTTTTCAAGTGCAAATCCAGGTACACAATTCAAGTACTCATCCAGGAATGGGCAAAAACACAAACACTGTCATTAGGAATGAGCACCGGTCAGAACGGCCCAAACTCTTTATCATTTAAGAGTTTGGTTTTGGTCTCAAAAGTGTGTGTGTGTGTGTGTGTGTGTGTCTGTGTGTGTCTGTGTCTTCCAAGAAGCTAAGCATATGCTAAACCTTTTTCCTTTAAGAGTTTCTTTCGGAGTTCCTCTTGAGTAAGTCAGGAGGGACTCAGAGGGCATGCTGCTGCATCAGAGACACCAGGGCGACCATCAGAAAGGACTTTCTAAAAAGGCAGGAAAGTTTCCTGTGTAAGGGATGTCAATGACCAGATCAAAGAAACTTTGCCTGTGGAAGTGGAGGTGAATTTGGGAGGACTATTCAAGACTTTTTTTTTTCCTCTGACATATTGCTGTGAGAAGAGAAATCAGGACATGTAGTTACACACTTTTTTAAAACTTCTTAAGCATCCCCGGTTTACCATAAGGTGACATGAAGATGCCCATGCCTTGTTTCTATTATTAACTCACTGCAAGAACGTAAGGCATGTTAAACCTATAAATTCAAGGCTTCATTTCCTCTAACGTCCAACCAGAAGACTTAAGCTGGGAGATGACTGATAGGTATTACAGTTAACAGTGAAGCTAGTTCATATACAAAGGAACCCAACTTTTGAGAGCATCTCATGGTTATTTTTATAGAACTGGACTTGAATATACATACTCATATTCCAGAACTACAAAAGGAAAAATATACATCGGTGTAGCATGCCTTATCAGTAGGACTGCAAAGCTCACAAGTGAGGCTGTTTGTTGTGAGGTCCATGCTACAGGGATCAAACTCTACCACCCACGTTCTGCTCTGAGAAGTCCACATACTATGTTCGGCTGTCGGGGCCTAAATGTCTCCTCTCTGCCTACTACCCATTGATTTCTGCAACACAACTAAAAAGCTGTACAAAACATTTTAAAGATTCCAGATTAATGCTTAAGACCTGCCTTGGCAGATCCATCAGGAGACACAGGCAGTGTACGAAAAGTTCTTGAAGGACCTTGGGCTTTCAGCCTCATTTCCTGCCCAAAATACCAGTCTAGAAAACGCCAGCACCTTAGTCTCAGCACTAGGTGTTAAAATTTAGTCACCATCCCTACCCCCCAGCTAGTCCTGGGGCTTTTGGGGCTCTGCTCAAGGGGAGTCCCTCTGGGATATGGGTGGACAGTGAATGGTGTGACCCTTTGCTGGGCATGTCTACATAGTAGGGTATGCTGGGCCCCTCTAGGGTTTCCTATATGGATGCCAATAAGTTTCTTCCCTTATACTTAAAAAAAAAAAAAAAAAGGTCAGTCTCATTTGTGACTCTCTGACTCCCATGGACAGTTGCACAATTCAAGAGAGGCTCATCACTTGAGGGCAGAGTTTGTGGAATGAGTGGCTGGAGAGCTGCCCCTGGTATCTTTGTGCCCTGCTTGAGAAGCACGGCCTGGTTCACTGAAAGCACAACTGATCAACCAAGGACCAGAGCAGCCACTTCTACAACAGCAGGGACAGAGGAAAGAGCCATATGCTGACACAGACCACCACAATGGGAGGGGTGGGGGGTGGGGGGCACCGGGATAACTGCAAAGCCTGTCATTTCTATTGTGAACAACATGGAGGCGTCAAGAAAATTTGGCTAAAATATCTCTGATCGATCTTCCAAAATGTGGATGTGGGGAAATATGCCAGTATCAGCAAGTCGATGTACACAACAGAAAGCCAAGAAAGTACTGGCTGTGTGATACAGAGTCACTCGGTCCTAGGTTTACTTCCTAAAATGGGAAGTCACACAAAAGAAGGAAAAGGAACAATTGGGGAAATACTTTTGACAAGACTAAGAGGGCCTTACACAGATTCATCTTCTTCCAGTATACCTTCTCTTTCACCTCTGATCCTTTCTTTACTTTTAACTGCTGCTTTGAGGAGGCTGTCTTTTAAAACTAAAACTTCAGAGCAACAGTGTAGACTTTAGGGTGTGGATGGGATGAGGGAGCTTCAACAAAATACCAGTCTAGAAAACGCCAGCACCTTAGTCTCAGTCTCCGAGTGGAGATAAGCCCAGGCATGGACAGAGAGAAGAGACCCTGTGCTATGCCTAGTCCTGCCAAGAAGTCACACAAGTTTTGTGCGGAATGAGTACTTTTAAGCATCAGCTTACTGGTACAGCCTTCTGTTTGACAGAGAGAAGCTGAGGCTGATTCAGGGGTCATTACTTGGCCACGTCCATCCCGTGTTGACTGCAGGGTTTATCCCACCAGATAACTGGATCCACAATCTCAAGACAGAAATGTTGAAGGAGATCCCATCAGAAAGACAAGGGCAAGGAGCCAGGCGGAGGGGAAGGCTCCAGAACGGCGGGGGGCGCCGGGTGTGGGAAAGCAACTCGCTTCGGGGTACCTTCACGTAGGCCCGCTGCAGGTAATTGTAAGGCACTCGGCGCTGGAAGTCGCTGCGCACGTCCTCGCTCACGCGGTGGCGGGACGCGGGTCCCCCGAGGCGCTGGCTCTCGCAGCGGCGGCAGCAGCGCGCCCGCTCCAGCAGGGCGCGGAAGAAGGGCAGCTCGGCCGCGGGGC